TAGCTTTTCCTGAAGTACTGCTTTTTTCTATGTCTTCTGCTTTAACCTGCTCAGAAGCAGCAAGGCAACCACAATTCTTCAGGCCTTAGTGTTTCCTTTAGGAAATCATGATGTCCAGTCAGCCTGCAAACTTTCCCTCAAACACACTTTGGACATACTTGGTGATTATCCAGATTCTAAGCCCTTCTCTTCAGTCACACAAGATTTTTTTTTTCAGAATATTTTCTTCTTGGGCTACATCTCATGTCTTTCTTGGATTCAGGGTCCTGAGATATCTAAGCCTTTAGAGCGATGTTTATCTTCCTCTTTTATAGCAGTATCTAAATTTAGCCATAGAGCTAGTTCTCCATTCAAATGGTCTATAGCTGGCTGCCATGGGGGAAGCAATTTTCTGAAGAGCCTCTGAAGAACATGGCCTGAATCCATCTTTTCCTCAGGGTGCTGGATGAGTGGGAGCATCAGAACTCACATTGGAGACTAGTCCCCAAGGAACAGCTCATCTGCATACGCAACTCCCTGTCTCTTACATTTTCTTTGGTTTTCTCTGTAGGAGCTTTCAGGAGCTATGTAGCCTGGACTGATGCAGAAGCCATATTTAGCCAGCATGATACAGATGATTGTTGAAGGATGTGAGCCAGGGACTCATAGTCCCATAGAGGGCTGAGATCTATCTAGGAGCTGAAGTTTCAATTGACCACAATTTTTGTTCTTAGCAAAATGAAGCCTTAAGAAGGAGCTGCCTGCAGAGTTAAGCAAGATACTGATATCTGTCCCCTGCTCTGTGATTTTTCCACCTTCGTTTTCTGCTTCTTTCCTAATCTTAATTGCAATACCAGTTAGAGACAACTTGGTCATTTTCATTGGTTTCTGGATCACTGTGTCAGCTTCCACCTGTATTCTGGGCCCAGCACCCAGGAATTTCTGCTTCCCTGGCCACCCTAAGAGCATTATGCATTGTTACCTGCTAGTCCTCCTTGACTTTGGGGTTGTCCTCTATCCTCACCAGCATCCTTGACCACAACTCCTACCTCCACCACTGACATCTACCACCCCTCACACAAGACTATTTCCATCTCTTCTGCCATTGACACTGCCATCTAGGCCTTGGAAGGAGATGAGAAAGAGGAAAAATAAACCAGGGAACTGTCCCCTTTCTGTCACCACAACCCCTGTTAGAGCAGACCTGGACAGAAATCAGTCATTCTGGGAGCAAGAAGGCCTTTATTTTTTTATTGCATACTCATAGATCATCTTGAGCACCTACTGGGGTGTGTGTACCCACTTTGAAGACCACTCACATAGCCAAAGACAAGTAGAGTGAATGATGAACATCCACAATTCCAAAGGAATTGTTACCAACTCACATTTATCTTTACCTAATTTGCCTGTGACTGGTGCATCTAAAGGTGGCTGAAATCTGCCTACCATGTTTTAATTAATTTTTTAAAGTTCTCTAGTTCTTTAATTTATTTCAGAATGTTGTTGTCATTCAGTTGTTTTTCAGCTGTGTTCGGCTCTCTGTGACCCCATTTGGGGTTTTCTTGGCAAAGATACTGGAGTGGCTTGCCATTTCCTTCTCCAGATCATTTTATAGATGAGGAAACTGAGGCAAACAAAGTGAAGTGACAGGCCCAGGGTCACACAGCTAGTGTGTGAGGCCGGATTTGAACTCAGATCTTCCTGATTCCAGGCTTGGCACTGTATCTACTGTACCACCTAGCTGCACCTACTTCAAAATAATACCTAGTATTATACCTAGAACCTAATGTAATACCTAGTTTCTTTTAGGCTTTTAGCCATAGGACATCCAAGATCAGGTGATATCTGCAAAGAATTGATTTCCTAGAAGTAGTTATCTATACAACTTAAATTCCCAGAACCAGTCAAAGATTGGGATCTTGGGGTAACAATGAAGTGCTCTTGAGTATGTCTACCAGTGGTTCATAAGCTAGCAATAAACTTCATAGTTAGATCAATTGAGGGTGAGGCTTTTTCTCTAGGTTCCTTGAAATCCCAGATTTGACAATGACCACAGGAACCAGTATAGGTTATATTTACCAGATATAAATTGCCCAAGAACAAGAACCATGTCTGGATTGTCTTTGTCTCTCCCCCATACTTAAGAGTAAAATTAATATAGTACATACCTAGAATTTCTGAATAGATACATATTTTATTAGTAGGTATAATAAAAAATTTGGAAGTTATTTCCATAATGATGGTGAAGAATTGGTTCACATCTATAGAGTATTTTACACTTTAACAAGTAACCTCCTCAGCTCTAGGGAGGAAAGCACTCAAAATATTTTGGAACTAATTTTATAGGAATCTGAAGCTCAAAAGGTTAATATAACTACTCCAGAGAGATCACCCATTACAGGGCTGAGGTGTCAAATGCAGACCTTCTGATTCCAAGTCAGGTTGTACCTTCTCCTCTGTGTTCCAATGGAATTTTCAAAACTGGGCAATAGGAGTGAGAGATGGAAGACTGACAAGATGGTGAGCAACAATGGAGAGAAACATCACTTCACTGAGAATAGGAGACTACGGCATGTATCAGAGGGTGAGAAATGAAAACAAATTTTTACTTAGCACTTGGCTGTTTGTGATGATATTAAAGAGATTATTTCATTTGAGCCTCACAACCATTCTGTGAGGTTATTGTTGTCTCTGTTTTGCAGATGATTGAAACTAAGACAGTTAAGTGGCTTGCCCAGGGTCACACAGTTAAGATCTGAAGTGGGATTTGAACCCAATCTAGTGGGATTTAACTCCCAAGTCTAGTACACCATGTATTGTGCCATATTGCCTCCTTAAGAAACATGGGGTAACCTCATTAGTGTTGAAGATGAGAGGTTGTTGAGGAAGAGGTCAAAGAAAAGGCAACAGGACCAGGAAATATTGATACACTCTTTATGAGACAGATACAGAAAAATGTACCTCACACTGCTTCTGCAATTTCCATGTGTGGGAGAATGCCAAGTCTGGAGAGTGACTAAGCTGTGGGCCTTTCATAGCAGATACTAAGCCATTCTTCTAGGGGCACACTGCTCTCTGAATCCCTGCCATTGCCCCCATCATGCACAAGCCTTTACCCATCCACCTGGCAGGGTTACATACCCACATGCTCTCTGGCTATCACTACTCATGTCACCTTCTGCTATGAATCAGAGGGTCGTGTGGCAAACCTATTCATTTTACAACTGAAAAAATGAAAACCCAAATAGTTTAATTAATTTGTATGAAACAGGGAATGAAGACAAGGGGCAAGACTCTAACCTTGTTTTTTTACCTCCCTATGCAGCGTTCTTCCTACTATACCCAGTTTTTTTCTCTCTTTCTCCTGTTCACCCAAAGTGATGGCATCGACATGATGGAGTCATTGCCATCGTCCCACTGTCCTTCTACCAAATTTGGTTTCCACACAGAACACTCGTCAAACAAAGGAACTTACCGATAAGGATATATAAACAAGAGAGATCCTTCTGTGCTGTGAATAAACAGAGAAAAACATATTAATCTTGAAAAACATTCCTTTATAATGATTACAACTAAGATCCTGGCCTGGACTGCCTGGACGCTATTATTTAGTTGTTCCTGAAGATCACACCATCCTCTGAGATAAAGCCAAGGAGACACGTGCATAATATCGTGGTTCTCCAATTGTATAGCCAATTGTATAGTTTCAATTGACAAACGGCTTCTGTTCAAACCAACCTCTAATTGACCTTGGGCATCAGTTATACCTTAGCAGAGAACATAACTAAGGAAAATATCAGAAGGAAAGGATTCTAAAGACTATCCAATCTCCTATGCCCCAATCTGCTTCATTACGCAGTAGCTTGTTTTGTAAATTTTGAAGAGAAAATAAGGTGAGAATGGGTTCTTTTAGTAAAGCTCTCTGGGTATAAGGAGAAAAGTACATGACTGCTACTCAGGATATAGGTTTCAGTCTCAAGTGGGCCACTAAACAGGTGTGTGTCTTTAAACCAAAGATCTCTGAAAAAGGGGATGTGACCTGACCTCGAGGACTCTGTGTTCAACCAGACGGTGAGAAGATTGGTCATATTTCCCCCTTCCCTGCAGTAACCAATTGTGGGGCTTATCTGTCATACAGCCATACCTATCATCGTTTTGCTAACACTCACCCACTCAGCACTCACCCTCCACAATCAAAGTTCCCAATATTTCCCTTCTGAGCTGGATTGGCAAACTTGGGGGTTGGGGTTATAATCTAGTTGCAATTCAATATCTTCAATAGTGATTGTGCAGGTATTAATTTTCTCCCTGCCCCTGCACTCCCAGCATACCCAGCTCTATATCTCCCAGAATACCTAATGTCTCCAGTGGGTGTCCCTCAACTTGCCAGAAGGTTCTTTACTCTAAGACAAGTGTTAAGTAAAAAGCCATATGATAAGTAGACATGGATGGATTTTCACAGATTTTTAGATCTCTTTACATTATCTATGCCTTTCCCCCCACCCCCAAAAAACCCTACCCCTTCTTATAAACTTCCCTATTATGGCTAAAGACATCACCATCCTTTTAGTCACCCAGGTTGGCATCTTTAGGATCATGCTTGACTCCTTATGCTTCTTCACCCTCCATGTCCTATCAGTTGCTAAATCCTGGCATCCATCCTTTTCCCTTTACTCAGACTGCCATTATCTTAGTTCAAGCCCTCATCACTTCTCACCCAGACTATTGCAATTTTAGCCTCCTAATTTACTGCGAATTAACCTCCTAATTTGCCTCCTTACCTCGAGTCTCTCCTCTTTTCAATCCATCCACAAGACAGTTGCCAAAATAGTTTAAAGTGTAGGACTACCCATATCATTTTACTGTTCAGTAAATTCCAGGGGCTCTCTATTATCATTGTGTTCAAAGGAACCTATGTTTGTTGTCTTGAAACCCTACACAAATCACTGGCTCTATCTTATCAGATTAGTAGTGACACTAAAAATAAAGAAAACAATGTTCATGGGAACATCTCCTTCCCCATTTTATCAGTTCTATGTTTCTGGGTAGAGGAAAGAATAATAAATGTAAATGCCCAATGGCAGAGTAACAGAATCCCAGAATCTCAGACTTGGAAGGTATCAGAGATAACCTCGTCCAACTGGATACTAGGAAAAGAAATCTTCTCCATAAAACCCCCAACAAATGGTCATTCTACCTCAACTCAATGATCTCCATTGAGAGAAAGGTTTTCTTTATATCAAGGCTAAATCTTTCTCTCTCTAACTTATATTCATTGTTCTACTCCTAGTTCTATTCTCTGAGAACAAGAATGAGTCTAATCCCTCTTCCTGAGGACAGCCCTTCAAATACATGAAAACATCCTTCATAAGTCTTCTCTCCTCTAAACTACATGTTTCCAATTCCTTCCCAATGTTTTCATGGCACATCAATTCATCATGCTCTCCTCTGGAGGTAGTGTAGATTATCAATGTCTTTCATAAAATATAGTGCTTAGAACTAAACACCATACTACAGATATAACTCAAAGAGAACAAACTGAGATTCCCACAACCCTCTTTCTGGTCATTCCACTTCTCAATGGGGTTTAAAATTCCACTTGCCTTAGCTAAGAAATAGAGTGGTAGATCAGTGGAATAGGTTAGGTACACAAGACACGGTAGTCAGTGACTACAGTAATCTACTGTTTGATAAACCCAAAGACTCCAGATACTGGGATAAGAACTCACTATTTGATAAAAACTGCTGGGAAAACTGGAAAATAGTATGGTAGAAACTAGGCATAGACCAACATCTTACACTATATATATACCAAGATAAAGTCAAAATGGGTATGTGATTTAGATATAAAGGCTGATACTATAAGCAAACTGGGAGAGCAAGGAATAGTTTATCTGCGAGATCTATGGAGAATGGAAGAATTTATGACCAAACAAGAAAGAGAGAACATTATGAAATGCAAAATGGATAATTTTGATTACATTAAATTGAAAAGGTTTTGCACAAACAAAGCCAATGCAACCAAAATTAGAAGGGAAGCAGAAAACTGGGAAAGAATTTTTACAACCAGTGTCTCTGATAAAGGCCTCATTTCTCAAATATATAGAGAACTGAGTCAAATTTATAAGAATACAAGTCATTCCCCAATTGCATATTTATATAGGTACAGAGTATGTCCTGATAAGTTTATACCCAGATATTTTATACATTCTGTAGTCATTTCAGATGGAATTTCTTTTTGTATTTCCTCCTGGTTTTTGTTAATACATAGAAATATGAGTAATCTTGGTAGATTTATTTTATAACTTGTTACTTCACTAAAATTATTAATTGCTTTAATTTTTTTCATTGAATCTCTTGGATTCTCTACATAGAACATTATATCCACAAATAGAGGTAATTTTGCCTCTTCAAAAAAAAATTACATTTGCCTTTTGGGCTGCCATATTACACTAATGGATTCATATTAGCTTTGAGGCCCACAAAAACGTTTAGATCCTCTTCCCATAAACTGCTATCCAGTCATCCCTTCCCCATAATGTGTTCAGCTAATGATATGAACCCAAGTATAGGCCTTTCCATCTATCATATTTAATCATCTAGTCACAGACTGAATTACTTTCTTGCAACTTTTGTCTGCACATAGGGATATAAGACAGTGATGGAATAAGACAAGGAAGCCACGTTAGAAATTGTTGGGGAAAAAACAGCAGCAAGCCATTGAAGATGCAAATGCTTACTCCTACAATTTTGACCAAGCCTCCACCATCTTTTGCCTAATAATATTACAATAGCTTTCTAGCTAGCTTCACATTAAACCTTATATTTGATTCTGGAGGTAATTAACAAGAAACTAATGGAGTTTATTAAGTAGAGAGAGATGGGCTGATGTGGACAGAGCAGCACTTCAGGAAAATCACTTTGGCAGTTAAGTGTAAGAAGGATTTGAATGGGAAGAGATGAGGCAGGGAGACCAACTAGCAGGTTACTATCAAAGTCCAGGCATGAGGTGATGAGAACCTGCACCAGGGAGCAGTTGTTTGAGTGGAGAGAAGGGGGCATATATGAAAGATGTGAAGATGCAGATGACAAGAGTTGACAATGTATTGGAAATGTGGGGTGAGTGTAAGTAAGGACTCAAGGCTGACACTGATTTTGGGGACTTGGATGACTAGGAGGATAGTGGTGGCCGTGCCAGTAAAAGGAATATCAGGAAAAGGGGAGGATTTGGAGGGAAAGATAATGAATTGCCTTAGACTTACTATGTTGATTTTTAAATGCCTATAGTACATAGTTTGATATATCCAAAAGGCAATTGGGGATGAGAGAGCAGAGCTCAGGATAGAGATTAAGGCTGCATATGTAGATTTGGGAATCATGTGCACAGAAAAGAAAATGGAACTCATGGGAGCCCATGACACCACCAAAGCAGATGGTATAAAAGAAGAGAAGTGGATGTAGGACAAAACCTGGAGGGTAAGGGAAGGAAGGGACAGAGAGAATGCTGGAGGAACAGTTTGTTGGTGAAAACAGGAGGGCAGGGGATTAAAGTTACATGTTGAGGGATTTTTGCCTTAGAAAGAAGGGCCACCTCTTCATATGAGAGAAGAAAATAGTGGTGTTTGAATGATATGAGAAGAAGGAAAGAGCAAGAACTGTCCATGACCTAGGTTCAGTTTTTTCAGTGATGTGTGAGGTGAAGTCCTCAGCTGAGAGGGGGAAGTTAGCTATCATTCCCAAGCTCTCTTTCATTGTTAATCAAAACTGATATCTACTATATGAACATAATAATAGCATATTGTTACTAATAAGAACGCTTTATATTTATATAGCATTTTATAGTTACATCTATGATCCCATTTCATCCTAATTCTAGTCATTAATTAGGAGGTTTTACATGTCTCAGGTCCCGGGTCTCTGGCATACTCTTAGAGGTCTCCCTCCAGGCTTACTCTAATATATTAACTATCATTCTTTGAGGACAGTTACCCAGTTTAGAATGTGTCCAACTATTCCATGATCTAGCCCACACCTCTGCATATTGTCCATAAGGATATTGTGGAAGATTGTCAAATGTCTGCCTGAAATCCATATGCATTTTATTTATGAGCACTGCCTTGATATACTAATCAATTAATCCTTTAAGAAAAAAAGGAAATGAGGTTATTCTAGCATGAGACATTCTAAGTGAATTTATGCTGGCTAGTTGTGACCATCAGTTTTCCATTCCAAGCACTCACAGACCATCTGTAAAATAATTTGTCCTAGAATTTTTCGCGAGTTTAGTATCAAACTCACTTAATTATAACTTGTAAAATCCACTTTCTTCTTTCCTTTTTTTGAAGAACAAGACAATATTTGCTCTCTACTATCCCATGACATTTTCCTTATATATATATTTTTTGCAATCCTGCAAAGGTAACTAACAGTAGTTATATAGTTACATCTGCCAATCTCTGTATGTTGCAATATACTCTTACCTAGATACATATAATTTTTAGTGACACCTACAAGCAGTCCCTGCTACTTGACTAGAATCTCTTCAGCTAAAACCTCCAGAAGGAAGAGGTAACTTTATTGGCAAACACAGAACATCAAAATGATTATTTTCCAGGTAGCAATAATCACATAGCCTCCCCAGCAAGAATCCTAGATTTCAACCAGAGACAGATAGATGGGTGATAAGAGATTAAGAGTCCAGGTTAGTTTGCAGTGAGAGAGAGCAGGTCTGGTTATTCCTCTTTGCAGACATATTAGGCTTGTAAATGTCAGGGTGGATTAATTTTTTTGCTTCTTTTCAGTTACCAATCTCACATATAAGAAAGGACAATGTTTTAATTAGATCTCATTGTTTCTAGACCCAACCAGAATTGCTCAGATACAAAAACAAGATAGTAATTATATAGCAATCAATTAAATAAGAGCTACTTTAGCTGTAGCAGTATGTTTCATCAAATGCTTTCTCCTCTTTATACCCCTGCGAGATTTGGAGTCAGAGGACCCAGGTTTGAATCTGGGCTCTGCTTCCTCAGTATTCCCATATTCAAAATGGGCATAATAATCCTTATGCTCCATAGGGTTGTTCGAAGAACATTCAATAAATTTTAAAAGCTATGGAAATGTGAGTTACTGTTAATTAGTAGTAGTAGTAGCAGTAGCAGTAGTAGTAGTAGTAGTAGTAGTAGTAG